CCACCGTCTCCAAGCTCGCTCGCCCTACCGTTTCTCGGGCCTTTGCTACCACCTCCCGCGCTCTCGCCGGTGAGACCGGTGCTCCCCCCAAGACCGGTGGCCAGGGGTGAGTTTTGTTCTTCCCTCTGATTCTCTGTTCCTCTGCTCTTGCGCGTCTGCACTCAACGTGGCGCGCACGTGGAGACAGTATTGATCAATTGCTGGCTGGCTCAGTCCGCTGACATCATACCTCCGACTCTAGTGACGCTTTCCAGCGCCGCGAGAAGGCCAACGAGGATTTCGCTATCCGTCAGCGCGAGAAGGAGAAGCTCCTCGAGCTCAAGAAGAAGCTCAGCGAGCAGAAGAAGCACCTCCAGACTCTTTCTGATCACATGTAAGCTTTGCAACCAGCACCAGCACCTCTCAACTAGAAGCTATCAACCGGCTTCATGCGCTTTCATCATTCCTCCCACGGGCTCTGGACGCTAGTTTGCGAGGAAGATGTCCAGATCCAGCGAACTAGAACAAGAACAAGAACAAGAACAAGTGCTAACATCCGGGGAAAAAAACAGTGACGAGATCACCAAGGAGCAGGGCGGCAAGAAGAACTAAGTCGACGATCTTATAAACAACCTATAATAAACATCACCTTCTCAAATTTTGACGCGCGCACAACCTCGAGGGGAATGATCAGCATGACTATGAACCCATGAAACGAACGCAGGATCAGGAGGGAAGGAAGAGAAATTGGGAGGCAGGAAAGGAACTGAATGGGATGGGATACGGCACTCGCGTGCGTGCGTGTGTGCCGATATTATACCTCACCACTATCTTGTAGCAATACAGCGAGCCAGATGATCGAAGAACTATGTGTCTTTTTGGATACATACCCGCTGGGGACGATGAAGCTTGTTCGGTTGTGTCTTCTACTTGGACTGTTGCTTGACGTGGGAACTTACTGTCCGAGAGACGAGACGGGACGAAGCTGTTATTTGAATTGGACGGGGTGCTTACATGGCTCTACGATCTGTGTTTGATCGTTCACCTCAACAAAGTCAATGATGTGCTTTGCGATCTCTACTTTGTTTCATCTCAACGCACTCAACAGATCGAGTGATTACTTACTCCAATTTCCTATCACCACTGCCTTTGATGGCATGTCTTTAGAAAACCAGTTCAGCCGCCTTTTCCTTCAAATTGTAGATACGCCATGTATTATCATAGCGATGCTATTTCACAGCTCAATCCAGACTCTGGATTCATGTGATCCACGGTCAGCATAGAGGCATCTGTTGTGTGTCACTTTCAAAATTTGTTCTTGGTTCCTCGACGCTAGACCGAAAACGCAAATATGTTCCTGATGCAACCCCTTTTCAGACTACCCGAGGATCTGCGTGAACTTAACCATTTGTTTACTATTTTTGCTTCACAGCCTAGCTTAGCTTAGCCTTTTCATCCCCATCGCAAGCATTCAGCCTAAAAATCCAGACCTAACAACGTAGTGTAGGCCCATCCATTGATACACAAGGCATCTCATGTCTTTACAAATAAACTTGGTAATCAAAACACAGAATCGCCGCCTCCCATTCTCTTTCACCTCCCTAAACTACATCGAAGCCCTTCACCTGTAAGCACCACCAGCCCTGTACGAGCGGTAAAAGCTCTGAGCAGCATCCGACTCGTTGACGCCAGCGTGAGAACCCATGCCGCTGGTGGCCTTCTGGGCAGCGACCACCTTGGCCTGGAGAGCGGCGGCGTTCTGGTCGATCCATTGGAGCTGGGTGAGGTGACCGTTGAGGACACGGACGATTTGGCTGAGCTATTGTTATTTGTCATATGCGTTAGTAACTGTACCAGACCCAAATAGAAAGAAAAAGGGGGGGGAAGTAAGCAAAACGACAAAAAAAGACATACCGGATCATCAGGCTTGCTCCCCTTGCTCAACGAGCCACTCATATCATTAATCTCCTTGATCATCTTGGTCAAGTCCTTGCCCATCTCATCCAGCCTATCGGTAAGCTTCTCCGCAAGCTTATACGTCCTCTCGCGCTCCTGGTCGGGGCCCAAGCCACCGTCGTTGGCAGCCTTTTGCTCGCCGCTGCTGGAGCCGGATCCAAGCTGCTGCTTCTTGAACAGCTCCTCCAGCTGCGCCTCGTACTGGTCCAGCCACGCCGTCAGCTCGTCCTGCTGCGACTCGACGCCCGAGAGCTGGCGCTCGATCTCGTTGCTGGCCTTTTCGGCCTCATACGTGCTCGTGTACAGCTTCTGGATCTTCTCGCCGTTCTCGACCAGGAGACGGTCCCATTCGGCGACCTTGGCGGCTTGCGACTTGAATTCCTTCTGGTACTTGGAGAGGTCGGTGGCCCAGCGGGTGATGATCTCGTCCATCGTCTTGTTCTTCAACCGTGGGAGAGTAGAGGTGGGACCGGTGGTCGTGGAGGCGAGGTTGCCGGTGGTGCTGGTGGTACCCGCGGCGGTAGTGGTGTTGTTGGCGGTTGTCGAAGTGGTAGTGGTGTCCGCAGGCTTGGCTCCGAAAAGACTAGTGGTTCCAGCAGTGGCGGTAGTGCTTCCACCCGCAGCGGTAGTAGCCGCTGTGGTGGTAGCAGGCTTGGTGGTGGCCGCACCGAAGAGGCTACCAGTAGCAGTCGCAGACGAAGTAGCAGGTGCCGTGGTTGTGGTCGTCGCAGGTGTAGTCGAGCCGAATAGGCTTCCTGAAGCCGGGGCAGTAGTGGTAGTGGTATCATCCTTCTTGGCGGCGCCGAACAGGTTGCCGGAAGCAGCAGTAGTGGTAGAGGTGGCAGGGGCCGAGGTGGTGGCAGCTCCGCCGAACAGATTACCCGTAGCTGGCTTCGCAGCTTCGGTCGGCTTGCTTGTGTTGGCACCAAAGAGACCGGAGGTTGCTGGTGCCGTGGTGGTCGTGGCCGATGTCGTAACCGGGGTTGTCGAGGCTCCGCCGAACAGGCTGCCGCCGGTGGTCGCAGGCTTTGCGCCGGCGCCAAAGAGCGTAGATCCAGAAGTAGCTGTCGTCGCGGGAGTTGTGCTAGATGTAGTCTCAACTGGCTTGGCGCCAAAGAGACTAGAAGTGGTGCCGGAGGTAGTGGTCTCAGCTGGCTTTGCTCCCCCGAAGAGAGATGATGTTGTTCCCGCGGTAGGGGCAGCGGTTGTGGTCGGGGTGCTCGTGGCTCCTCCTCCAAAGAGGTTGCCAGAAGCGGGCTTGCTGGCACCGAAGAGAGAAGGGGCGGCCTTGGAGGCATCGGCAGCAGGCGGTGCGCCGGCGGGGGTAGTCGACCCTAGTCCGAACGTGGTCTTCGCCGGCGTCGCCTGACTGTTGGCGCCACCTCCGAAGAGGTTACCGGTACCTGAAGAAGCAGCATTGTTTCCAAACAGATTTCCCGAAGTAGCTGCTGTTGCGGGTGTGGTGCTGGCTCCGCCGCCGAACAAGTTTGAACCACCAGCGGCGGGGGTGGTAGATGTGTTGGAGGTGTTGTTTCCAAACAAGCCCGCGCCAGGCGTCGTGCTGCCTCCAGCAGTGTTGGAAGTAGCGCCAAAAAGCGAAGGTGTAGTCGAGGTGGTATTGTTTCCGAAAAGTCCTCCAGCAGGTTTCGGCGCATCTGCAGGCTTAGCACCAAACAAGCCACCGGCCGGCTGTGTCGAACTCGCTGCTGGGGTGCCGAAGGTTGAGGCTCCGAAGAGATTCCCGGATGTGGCAGTCGTTGCTGGTTGGCCCGTGGCCGCACTGGAGCTTGGTGTACCGAAGAACGACATGGCTGCAATTATGTGAGGGTGACGATATTATGTCGAGGTTTTGGAGTTTTTGGTTGTTGGTGGTTAGGTAGGTAGGTAGTCGTCGACAAAACTGCTAGAGTCAACAACAGCGTCCCACTTCCTCAACAACAGGGAGCGCGGCAACCCAAGCAACAAATCGTAAAATGCGACGAGGGGGATTGACGCGATGTCGGTTTGGGTAATTGATGCAATGGTCCAGCCGTGGTATCAAATCGCGAGTTTGGACCTTGTTTCGAAATCCGTTGGTGGAGTGGACTTCGTTTGGGCGTGGGTTGGAGAATGCAAAAGAAAGTGCAAGCGTCACTCTCTCTGTGTTTGGATGGTCTGCGAGGTTGTCAAGGTTCCTTCGCGACAGGCCTTTTTTGGGAGGTGCTGCAGCGCGCCTGGGCTTTTCCCTTTCTGGGGGGCGCAAGGCCAAGCATTTCCCGCTGTGAAGCAACAGCCCCAGATGTGAAGTGGTCAGCCTCATCTCCTCCCATCTGGCATTGGGCAAGTGCCAAGCGTGCACGGGCGATCGATATGTGGCTTGACTGCAAGCTCAAGAGTAACAACTGGGGGTCAAGGCGGACATGCTCGTGCCGCGGACTTGATGCTCTGGCATCTGACTGGACCGTCTCCTGCAGCACATTACGCAGCGAGTATCCGTACACGGCGATAGCACCGTATCAAAACCAGCCTAAGCGGGCAGGAGCGAAGCAAGAAGCACTGACTGCGGTCACTGCCCGTTGTCTTGGAAAGCTTGGGTGGTGGTTACCCAATGTTCTAGGCCGTCGTTCGCCATTCCTCTAGGCCATCCGGAAGCTGTTCCTCCTCTCGACCTCTCTCCACACATTGTCCATCGTCTGGACATCGAGATGCCACAAGTCAGCCGCAACGTCTGTGTGCATACCCAACCTTGATTTGACCTCTACTCAGGCCATCTGCTGCTTCCAATTGACCTATCTCCTTTCTGCAGAGTATAAGAATTGGCTTACTCCCCCCTCATTGATCCATATATCACCGTCTTAGACACTCCTCAGACTCCTGTCACCTCAGCAGTGGACATCCCCCCACACCAACTACATCACTCCTCAACCTTGCCCCCCGATCACCGATCCCGATCAGCCCATTCATACGAACGTATACTGCTTTCTACCTACCTACCATATACACCTCTGCGCTACCCTACTCACCATAGTCGAAATTCCTCTTGTTCTTTGATCGTATAGACCGCCGCACTACGCTTCGAAATCACAATGGCTTCGCGCAGGAACAGTTTGTCACCTCCCGAGAGGAAGGACACCATGGACCCCGGCGCTCATGAGCTACCTGGTAGGTACAGTTGGTGGGACATGGAAGAGCCCCAAACCAGCCGGCACATGGATAGGCAACTAACTGTCTCTACGCGCCAACAGGCTCCGACAACGAAGATCACTACTCCGATGCCATCTCTGGCTCAGCCTCCCCCAAGGCTCCGTCCTCACCCATCCCAAAAACAAGGGTCGAGCGAGTAGACGACAAGCCGGCGTATGGAGAGGTCCCAGGAACACAAGCATATGCCATGAGGGAAGGAGATGCGAAGCCGGATGAGTTTGCCATTATCCCAGACCCGGACGCCAAGCTCACGGCCGAGGAGCATGACGAGCGCCGCCCGTCCACTCCCGGCGGCCGCCCCATTCCCAAGACCGTAGTAGAGGAGACGCCTGATAGCGCCGGTGCCGTCACCCACCCTGAGGTCGAGGAGAGGCACAGGGTTGACAGTCCTCCCGACGTGCTTGTCAAGGCGGATGGGCAGAAGATCGAGAATGAGAAGGGTGGTGACAATGGTACGGATGCGTAGCACTTCTTTCTAGCCACACGCACATTCACGAGCACATGCCTGTTTGTTTTTTGAGCCAGCCAGCATCGAATTATACAAGATCTCCTTTGTATTGACTTTACGTCTTTCGTAGATACTTCAATACCACCTGCATTAAAGAGTCCCGCGTCGATACATTCTAGAAATTCGTCACCTGATCTAGACCAGCCATCCTCTGATTTGCCCTCCTTAGGACCTAGTCTCCTAGCAAAGGAAGACGGCACTAGTAAGGAGGCGAGCAATGACGCGAGGACATGCCGTACCAGACAACGCCAAGACCGTCGACGAAGACGCCGACCATTCCAAGGACGAGGATGTAGTGGCCAAGACTGAGCAGGCTAAAGACGGAGAGGACGAGGACGAGAAGGACGAAGACGAGAAGGACGAGGAGAAGAATGGCGAAAACCAGCCAAAAGATGAGAATACTCCAGAAGAAGGACCCCAAGCAGACGAGTTTGAGGATGCCAGCGAAGAGCTTGAGAACCAAGATACCAAGAAGGAAGACGCGGAGGAGAAGTTCGACGAGCCAGAGCCCCAAGATACAAAGGAAGAGTCAGACGACCAGTTCGACGAGCCAGAACCCAGTCTAGAGGCGGAGAAGAAGATCGAGCCAGAAAACGACAAGGTCGAATCAGAAGACGACAAGGAAGATGGTGTCAACTTTGACAGCTCAGATCAGAAAGAGGAGAAGCCTGTCCAGAACGATGGATTCGACGACGACGGATTTGTTGAAGCAGGGGACAAGGCACCAGACGATGATGGGTTTGGCGATGATGACTTTGGGGACGACTTTGCTGAGCCTGCTCAGGCCGGCGCTGACGACTTCGGGGATGACTTCGACGACTTTGAGGAGGGAGCCGAGGTCAATAACGATGCTGACTTTGGCGACTTTGACGATGCCGGATTTGACGACGACGACGACTTCCAAGAAGCCGAAGGGTTCTCAGCTCCAGCACCCGCTCCCGAGCCGAAACCACGGCAACCAGAATCCTCATTAGGTTTCGTAAGTCCCACAACCAACCCAGTCACTGGTCCCTTATACCAACCGACGACACTGACACACATTCACAGCAAATACCCGACTTCACCCACCTCTCCCCCTCCGAAATCCTCTCCCTAACCTCCACCTACCTCAACGCGCTCTTCCCTCCCTCTCCCGACCTCGACGGTGACGACTCCGACTCCTCTCCCAACTCCATCCCAACCCTCAACGTCACTTCCAACGGCGTCGACCCCATCTTCCAACACCCCCGCTCCGCCTCTCTCTGGTCCCAACTCGTCGCTCCCCCTCCCCTCCAACCCCCCGATTGGATCCGCTCCCGCATCCGGCGTCTCTTCCTCGTCTCCCTCGGCGTGCCCGTAGATCTAGATGAGATCCTCCCCGCTTCCAAGCAAAAGAAACTCGTCTTGCCCAGCTTGGACTCTCCAGGAGGCGACGCCGATGGCGACGAACGTGCAGGCAGGTCAAGAAGACCCAGCGCAGCTCGTCAAACCCGCTCCGTTGACTCCCGCGGAAATCCCACCTTAAGCCGCACACCTTCAAAGCAACCAGTGAACAAGACAGTCACTTCCGCCGCCACCGGTAGTGCAAACCGCTCCTCCTCCTCAGCAAGGAAGGGCCCACCTCCGGAGCCGGTGTTTGATCTGGTTGCTGCGAAACAATTTTGTGAGACGACGGATGAGGCATTGTCGGGAATGACGGTTAAGGAATTGAGGGAGCATGTTAAAAAGTTGGAGGCGATGCAGGGACTGGCGAGCGAGGTGTTGGTTTATTGGCAGCAGAGGACGGATGAGAAGATTGGAGATCGGGAGGCGTTTGAGGGGGTTATTGAGAATTTGGTTAAGCATGCTCGGAAGGTTAGGAAGTAAGTAGCGATGGATGGGTTTGGGTATGTATGTGTGTGTGGTGGTTGGGGATGGATGGGTGGTGATGGACAATGGGAAGGACGGTCTGTGAATGGGTGATGGGTGATGGAAGACAGTGAGAGGGAAGAGGAGACGGAGGAGTGAAGTAAATGACGAATGTTCTATTCGATGTGCTGGAGGTGTTTTAAACCAAGACGATAGACTGAGGTTATAGTATCAGTGTTGTAATTAGAGAAGCTGTGCCAATATTGGATTGAGACCGATGGCTAAGAGTGATGTACTATGTTCCGAATGGTAGACTAAATTGACAACTACGAACAGTCAAATAGTTCAGTTGATATCAGCGCTGCCATGTATTCATGTCATCATCATTCCTGGAATTACCGCTCAACAACTGTAAGAGGTTTTAGTCTATATACCAGTACGGAGACATTCTAAGAAAGTATGAAATTCATGCAAATTATCTGCTCTGCCTCCTAGACTCTTGATTGTTTATGACCAGCACAAAACATGGCCTGAGTAAGAACTTGATGAAGTTCAGGTTTTGCTTTTGGTCGCGTCTTCTGGCATCGTGACGGCTGGCTCAGGACAAACTGAAGGTCCCACGAAGTGTACCATGATAGTTCGAGCAACTACCCTACGGCTATCGTGCTGAAGTAGTGTTTCAAGCATCATGCGTTTACTACGAGGCCCATCTATTTCGTATCTCTCTCTTTCTCACCTCAAGTAATTAACATAGAACCAAAAAACACTTTTGTGTACAATATCCCAAACACCACGGTTGATAATGCGATGTACTGGGTATGTTTGCACCAAGAGGATAGACAAGACTTATTGTATCAGGATTGTAATTAGAGCGAGAAGCTTCCTCGTGAGATTCGGCTTTGGAAAGGTGAAAGGTGTATAGTAAGCCATGAACAGAGTCATTTGTATGAAAATATATATGTACGGTGAATTCATCCTCATTCCCCGTTTCTGCTTCATTTGCCATCTTCACTTCACTCTTCACTCTTCACTCTCACTCCAACTAACTACCTATGCTAGTAAACGCAAAGTACCAAACACGAATAAAACTAAACCGAGACCGTATTCTATCAGTTGTTGTAAGTAGAGGAATTTCTTGTCACCTTGTGAAGTTGTGGTTCAGACGGTGGATAGGTGATGAGTGTGATGTGATATATACCAAGTGAAGGGTGGAACGTATAGAGGACTACAAATGTCCCATACGTTGTTGTGTTTACTTGCCTCACTCATCCTAAACGTATGATCCCCATGTCGAAACTGTTACCAGAATCATACGTATTGCCTTATCATCTCTACTTTCACACCACTCAGCTAGTTAACACAGATACCAAGCATGACTTTTTGTACAGATCCCATAACACCTCGGTTAATAATCCAGTTCAAATGTTCTTCTCTTCACAGTTTCCTTTCATCCTCGCGTATTACCGGGCTTTCTACTCCTTTCCGTTGCTCTCCGGCCCATGACCTCATATTCTCATCTTCGTCACCTTCTATCAGATCTGCCCATTCCTCTCATCACCATCTTCACGTGTGACCAGTGTACCAGTGTACCAGTTCAGTTCTTCTTCCCCTTTTGTGTTTCACACCACCGGACTCCTGTTGTTGGATAAAAATAAGACCATGTACAAATCTCAAGGCTAGTTTTAGAAACACAGGTCCCGGTTCCCATCACGCTACGCCGTCCGCCTTGTCCGCCCAGTTCCATTCTTCCTCTTTGATCACATCCCAACGACTTTTGAAATTCATCATCAGAGCAACCAAAAATTAACACCTTCTCCATTTTCTTCTTGATCCAGCGATATAGTAGACTTTCGAAAATTGGTCGCTTAAGAGGTGGAAGGCTCGAGGGTAACACCGCTGTTTACAGATATTAGTAAATGTTGAGATAAGAAAAAAAAATTGGGGAAGGACACAAAAAAACTTACGCAGCAATGGTGGCCCAACCGATAAGACGCCAGTGCTTCTCGATACGTCTGGAAAGGGCAACCTTCTCGCCGATGCTCGTGCAGGCGGGGGAGGTGAGGATGAGCTTAGCGGCATCCTTCTTGATGGCGGAGACCTTGGCACCAGTGGAGGTGGAACCAATGTTGACCATGATGACTTCGTTCTTGGCGAGCTTGTCGACCTTTGCCTGCTTTCCGTCGGCGGTGCGGACACCGAGGAGGCGGCGGAGGAGGTAGAAGTTGACCTCGATCTCGGAGTAGATCTCGGGGAGGCGGCCCTTGAGACCGAGGACGAAACCGACGAGACGATCGGCACGGCAGAGGGTAGGGTCGATGCGGGTACCGACACCGATGAGACCACCGGGCACGGCGTACTTGAGGTCGTTGGCCTCGGAGTTGAGGGAGACGATTCTGCTGAAGATGGGAGTGCACTTGAGGTCGCCCTTCTCGTCACGGGTGACGATACCGGGACGGATCTCGATCTCGTCGCCGAGCTTGAGGACACCGTGGAGAATGGAACCACCGGCAACACCACCCTTGAGCTCGTCGATCTCGGCACCGGGCTTGTTGACATCGAAGGAACGAATGACGATCATCTGGGGGTCCATGGAGAAGTCCCTGGGAGGAACGGGAATGGTGTTGACGATGGCATCGTTGATGGCGTCGATGTTGAACTTGAGCTGGGCGGAGATGGGGATGATGGGCGACTTTCCAGCAACGGTACCACGGATGAACTTGAGGATGGACTCGTAGTGCTGCTTGGCGGCCTCCTCGCGCATGAGATCGACCTTGTTCTGGAGGATGATGATCTTGTCGAGCTTCATGATCTCGATGGCAGCCAAATGTTCGGAGGTCTGGGGCTGGGGGCAGGATTCGTTTCCGGCGATCAGGAGGAGGGCGGCGTCCATGACGGCGGCACCTGACAACATAGTGCTCATGAGAATATCGTGACCGGGGCAGTCGACGAAGCTGGAGAGACATGGTCAGCCAGATGTGCTCGTCGGCGCATAGTGTCTGTCACTTCTATCATGACATGACGACGAAAAGGGGGGCGATATAGGGAAACACTTACGAGACATGGCGCAACAGACGGTAGGTACCCTCGCAACCCTCGCGCTCGCAAGGGGGATCAACCTCCTTCTCGGACTTGTAACTCCTGTAGCATGTCGGGCGAGGGCATGCTGGGTTGTCGCACTTGTAGATCTTGGCGTTGGCGTAACCAAGCTTGATTGTGATATTGCGAATAAGCTCGTTCTTGAAACGGACCGTCTGGACGCCCGAGATGGCTTTTACTACTGTCGACTTGCCGTGAGCGACGTGGCCGATGGTGCCGATGTTGATGGTGGCCTGTCGCGCAATAATCTCGGGGGTGAGGGGGCTGAGGGTCTTGACGTCGAGGTCCTTGGGGTCGGTCTGGGGAGGAAGGGGAGGTCTCGCGACGACGGGGGCGGGAGTCTTCTTGAGGGCCGACTTGCGGGGCTTGGCCTCAACCTCGTTGTCGGACTCGTGCTGTCCGACGTGAGACTCGTTGTCGGAGCCCGAGTCGGACTCGACGATATCGTTGCCGAACTTGTCGCCGTTGGTAGCCATGATTGCGGATGTGGATGTTCGGTGGTTAGCGGTTTAGGTCGATGTCGCGGGGCAGTAATTTTTTCGCTTTCGGTGAACCCCTCTTGCTTTGCTGTGTACTGGTATGGTAGTGGCCTGCTGCGGCTTGCTACTTTTCCAGACCCTGCTCCTTGGTGTGGGTATGTGTCCTAATGTCTCCGCAACGGGACTCGCGATATTTGATAGCGGGCGTTGTTGGACTGGACTGACGAAAATAGTGGGGTTGGAGAGAAGGTTGACTTCGAGAAAGAATGACTCTGACGATATTTGTGACCTTTGGCTTGTGCTCGTGGACCTGGCTCAGGTAATTTTCTTGTGCATTCATAGGCCTGCCGCTGCTGCCAGCTGCGACCGATCTCCAGCCCAGCCAACGAGGCGAGAGCCTCCTTCCTGCCCTGCGAACTGCGTGCGCCTGGGCGCCCAAACCTTTGCTTGCCGCTGCCCCACTAAGCACGATTTTTGGTTTAGCGTAGCTTGCCCCACAATGTACGATAAGCCCGATAAGCCTTTCCGGCCAGTGCTGAAGTCCAGAGCTCGGTCATCGGTTCAACATCATCCACTGGAACTTCATCCCATCAGCACCTCGCTACAGGCACTACATTTTCATCCAACCACAGTGACCAGTCTCGATACGCAACTGACTCAAGGTTTACACGGCCAAGTATCTGCTCGAAACTATACCGAATGTCAAGAATGGATGTACTGTCTCGAGCGGCGAGTCGAAGTCGGTTTTTTCTATGAGCTCTCGAGAACGATCGTTATTCTGCAACGCTATCTCTTATTGAGAAGCAGCATTCTTCGACGTACATACAGACGCTTTCGGATCATATGAACGTTTCCAAGTCGATAAGCTATACCCATGCGATATCTTTAGCAGCACGCCTCTTGTCGTCGTCAACTTCGAGGAGCATCACAGTTGTCAGCGGTGGTGGAACTCTGAAGCTTTGGTAGAGATATCGTCAACACAAGTTTCTGCCCCCAATACCTGACTGTGAAGTCAGGACTTGGAACACGAGATGTTACGGCAACATCAGCAGCTGGTGTTGAGAAATTGCTTTATATACATCCACAGCTACAACTACGAGCAACAAATTGCACCGTCGCCTTACCTCAAACCACCCCCAAAGGCGTTGTTTCACGTTCAGCCTTGATGCTTGTTGGATCGGGATCGGGAAGATTCCGGGAGCGAGACCTGTTGAACAGCGCGTACGACCGTCCCTAATGTTTCGAGAAGCAGTCTAAGGATCCAAGCCACAGCCGATATCCAGTGATTACCATTGGAGCGGGGAGAAGACTCAGCCAGTTACACAAGACACATCTGCTTGACCGCTGAATGGCCGTCAGTCACGGCCACAGATACGGTTGGAGCTCGACCATCGCTGGGTTGGGGCCGAGAGAAGCAGCGCGGAGTGTCTATCCAAGATCAATCAGGCTGGAAGTGGGCAAAAGGCAAGAAGATGGATCTACAACTGGCATGGCCGAGCAGTGTCTAAGTAGGTACCACATCAACGGTGGAATGGGCGATGACTTGCAGCACTGAGCCACCGAGATAGCCCAAAGGACGGGTGGGATGCAACGCAAAAATGGTTGCCCATTATGGCTTTGATGGCTATATCAGGATGGTGGTACCCAAGTTTTCCCATCACCTTCGGCTCGGCGGGCTAAAAATACTGAATTGGTGGCAACACCAAAGACATGATGGGCTAAATACTGGCACTTTCATGGTCCTCTGTGCTTACGGATGCCCGATGGAGGGTGGGCAATATCTGTGTGCTGACAAGTGCAGCACAAGGTAAGCTCGCTTCCAGGCTTTGAGGTGGTTTATCGCGAGAGTTGAAGACGGCATATTAGTTGCCAAGCTATGGACGGGAACTGGTAAGCAAAAGTTGGCCGTCTTTGTCCGAGTTGGAGAATATTTTCGCTTTCAATCGCGGATTTCAGAACAAGGTCATTGTTGCAGTTGGCAATCGACGAGGGTTGACTACCGACGTGATATTTACGGTGGTAATCCTTGTGAGTCCAGAACCTACGTATACCCCAAAACACCAGCATTGTATCGTCATTCCTAGGATCAAGCCTTCTCGCAGAATTCGTCTTACACACAGCAGCACACTGCATCCGTCCTAGCGGTGTACATGTCTTGGTACCATGCCATGTTGTCCGCCGTGCTACGGAACACCGACGTCGTTGTTCGTCGCTGTGTTCCAGAGGACCCCGATCCCGGATAGGGAGAAAGGTGAAGAACACAGAATCCAATATCTGGAAGGTCGGTCGGGAACCAGAGACCACACGTGTGTGATGGTGCAACATTGAGAAAGTCTGAGGAAGCCGCTGAATTATTGAGGAGGCCCGCCCTTCGCCAACCAGCCTTAGTCTTCACATTTTGTGAACACTCATCGTCAACTGACGATTTTTTACCCCAGGAAATTATAAAAGGCTACTGTGTCCCCGGCGCGTGATTCCCGCGCGTTCCCGAGAGGTCATGGTAAGGTCAGAGTTAAATCGAGCAAACATCACACTTGGAATCTTGGATTTTGCCGTTTCTGGGTCAGCGCCCGATATTAGACTGTGAACGGGCGTGAAGAGACAGGAAGAAAGTTCGCTAGTCGCGGAGAGAAAGGTAGACGAGGTTTGTGTGGTACCGCTTGCCGCCCACCAATGCATGGCTGGCAGCTCTATCACGGGGTTATGCCATCTGATTGGCTGGACATGTGAAGTCTCTAAACATTCAACCAATCATTATCACCGGAACACTCCAGGGTAGGCAGTTGGACGGCAGGGGGACCAGCGGACGAGTGAGATGCACGGCAGGGGTTCTCTTCCTGAAGCTCGAAAAGCCCCGCCCTCCAAGACTTCGCTCAGCAACGACGACGACCGGGCCGCCGTCTCCTGGTGTTGCTCTGACCTTCACGCCGTTGCTGATCTTGGCGGTGCATCTGGACGACGTCGTTGGCCAGCCTCTTGGTCGAGTCCGGTAAAAGTGCTCCCATCCGCCAGCCGCCCCCAGCCAATGGATTGATGTTACCCAACCTTGCCCATGAGTTCCGGGGCCATTTCCATATTTTCTCTCTCTCTCTGGCTGGGGCTTGTCATCCTGTGATGAGGAAGGCAAAATACCTACAGAGAGAGGATGAAAGTCGGGAGAGGCCGAGGGTTCTCTCTGATGTTGGAGCGAAAGAGACGAAGAGAGAGAAAGAAGACTCACCATGAGCAAGTGCCTGTGATGGTCCCTTACCCACACTCCTATTGGACTCGGTTACTATTTGAGTTTTTTGAGCACATCTCGGTCTTCTTGGCCATGTGTGTGCACACGCAGGGTCATTTACATGTTGGTGTTGACGCCGCGGGATCGTCCATGCCGTCGACAGGCTGTTGTTGTTATTCCCCTGGTCCGTTGCTATATCGAGAAGAAAGGTTGCAACCCCTCTTCCGTCTTACACCTTTCCTTATTGCGTTCGAGTCTTATCTAGACCATTTCTGCTTCTAGGCCCTCCTAGGACTCTGACTTTTCTCTTCTTCTCCCGTTTCCCTCATTCTGTTTTCTCTCACAGAACTCTGCAGCATCCCCAACATCCACGAGACGCAGGAACAAGAAGACCAAGCCTGCCACTGTCCGATCACAGTTCCTCGCTTGCCGACGTACATCTGCGGCCTCCCTCTTGGGCCACGAGCGAAAAAGCAGCTAGAGGTAACCAGCAGCAGCACGACGATCAGTCTGGTGCCCACTCCTGACTCCCACTGGGCGTCTATTTTCGACATCAGTCGCCCGACCCTATTGGCGACACTAGCCCGTCGTCCTATCAGGTTCCGTGTCTCGGGGCCGACTACACCACCCCTGTGCAAAGTATGCTTCCCCATTGCTTCCCTCCGAAGGAACCAGTTGCTGATCGTCCCATGCAGAGAGGCAAGACTCGCGCAACACACCCATACCCATCCACCACCAAGATACCGAATCAAGGTGTACGAGGGTAGTGGCAGCGGCTATTCAAAACCACCTTCACCCCAACGGCGCCTCGCTTTCCGTCCTCTCCTCTACTTCGGTAGCTGGGCTCTCTCATATCTGCGTCTTCCTTCCATTTTACTCTATTTTCCTTTTGCTTCACTCCTGCAAAGTGTGTGCCGTCATCATCTCACAGTTTCAGGCTGTGTACGACCCTTTGCTAGTTTGATATATCGACATCGAAGACTGGCTTCTTCGATTCTTGCCTATTACAGTAACTAAAAACATATACACACATACGTCGTCGATATGGCCTTCAACGACGAGAAGAAGCGGCCAGCCGCTCTCAACCTGACACCCCAACGAACAATGTCGGCCGGCTCAGTATCCTCCAACAATTCATCATCAACAGCTTCATCACTGGCCAAGCCTCCAAGGACACCACGATTTGCCGAAGCCACCTCAGTACACTCACCTGTCGATGCACGGCAACTACCTTTCTCTGAGAAGTCCGAGGTTGCTCATGCTCAGCCTGGAGATGTTGGCTTTGGTTATATCGGGAACGGAGGAAACAGGGAATCAGTTGCCATGCCAATGACACCAAGGTCGCCTCTGAAGAGTGCTTTGAAGGTTCCAGGAACACCAGGTCGGGGTCTCTCCAATCCTCTCAGCCCAACATTTAGGGAAGAGGATCAGTTGGAGCAAAGAGAGAAATTGACGGAGAAGGAACAGGCTCGGGATTTGGTAGGTCTCATCATATTATGGATTTGATCACAGGCCATGGTAACTAACAACATTACAGAAAATCAAAACCCGTGTACGCATGGCCAAGTTCGCCCTTCGCGGTGTCAACTTCAGCTGCAGTCTCATCATCCTCGCCATGCTTTCGGCATCGTTCTCCATCTTCAACGCTACCCGACGTCTCCCGGCCATGAACGGTCTTCCCGCATGGGCCGAAGGCACCAGCCCCTGGCCTCAATACGTCGTTCTCGCCTGCTCCTGCGTCTCGCTCCTCATCTGCATCGGTGTCTTTGTCGGTTACTGCCGCGGTGGTCATAACAGGGCGGAGAAGGTTGGCGTGTACTACACGCTTTTCGCCGTGGGCTGGTTCATCTTCAGCATGATCATGTGGGCGGTGGCTGCCGGTGTCTTCCAATTCAGCAAGAACAACAGCAAGAACCAAGACATGTGGGGTTGGGCCTGCGTCGAGAACCACCGCGCCGACCTCTTCAAGGACAAGGTCGATTACGCGCTGGTGTGCCGTCTTCAGGTAAGCTTTTCCCAATCCCCCCTCACTTCGTACCACCGCAACACCCGGGATGTCTTACTGACTGGCAACAAACAACAGAACTGGGCTCTCATCTGCATAATCATCGAAATCATCGTCGAGATCATCAGCATCACCCTCTACAGCATCGTCTTTTACCGCTACTGGTCCAAGCGCAAGCTGCACAAGTCCATGAACATGCGCGACAAGGCCCGCTCCGACCTGTACCTCGCCCAGCTGCGCGTCCAGTCCGCTCCCAACACGCCCGGCTTCGGCCCCAAGTCGCCCGCCTTCTCAGCATACGCCATGTCTCCCCGCTTCCCGCCCTCGCAGTACCAGTCTTTTGACGACGTCGAGAAGGGCAACGGCGCCGGTCCCGGTGCTGCTCAACAGCAACAGCCCTTCACCCCCGGTGGCCAGCGCCTCATCATCCCCCAGTCCTCCTTCTCCTCCGCCTCGCCCAAGATCGACACGGGATTCAAGCTGCAGGCTCCTCCCTCAAAGGCTAACCCCGCTACTCCCGTCACTCCCAAGACAGGCTTCATGACGCCCACGTCCTCCAACGCCGTGTCGCCCGTGGATCCCATGCCGCAGTTTAACTTGCCTCAGCCTCCTCCCCCGACGGTGCAGATCACGCATGCTCCCGTGGTGGCTGGCGAGCAGCAGTATGAGGCGGTGCCGATCCCCGGTGCTTATGCCGGGCAGGCGCAGAGGTTTGCTTAGACTGAGCCTGTCACTGGTTAGGTGAAGCAGTGGTTTAGGAGGTGTCAATAAGTAGCAGGCGATGAAGTATATAACCATAACCCCCTTTCTCTTCTATAACTATCTTTTTCCTTTGTTTATTATTTTTTATGTTCGTTTCAAATTGGATATACCAAAGGCGTTGGCGGGATCACAACTTTGTTTTTGGAATAGCGCTGGATGGATGGGAATGATGAAAATTGAGCTGGCTGAGGGGAGCGGAACGAAAGTGTGTATAATATGAGCGGGAACTCGAGATACGTGGGAGATGAGGATGAATTGGAGAATGTATGGATGGAGTGATGGGTTGCTGGATGACGAGAAGGTCAAGATAGCTTTCTGAGACAGATCAGACATCAGACAGATCAGAACAAGAGAATAGAATTCTCTGTGCGAATTGAACAAAATTGTCTGACATCTTTGAGTTTCTTCTTGCACATCGTGATATTGTGATAGTATGACATCGTGAAGTGGTTGGTGTTTATGTCTTGACAACTGTAAGGACTCCCGTGTCTTGAGCCAGTGCAACTGTCACGGTCCTCATGGAGGAGGCGGGTGTCGGTTATACAGTAGAGGTGTTGCACGCCAACCTCACCAACCTCTCGGTGAAAGACATCACCGAACCGAGTAACACAAGAGTTATGTGACTACCACAAGACGAAGTATTGGTTCCCACCGAGGTGAGATGAAACCGTGGAATAGTGTGTAATTCTCGGTCATTGACAATCACAAGCGGGAGCACCCGATCCTCCCCGTTCCCTCGGCGGTGATGATAAGCTTTGATGTTCAAGTCCAGCTGTCCAGGCCTCCAGGGGAATTGAGGTTAAATCCCAAGTCTCCACTTCATTCAGGGGCGCCAGCTGTTCCAGCTGTCAGCCTGCCAAAAACAGTAGGCGCTTCACTGCAACTACTGCAACAAGACGAGGTGATCCACATTGCAGCAGCTGCCAGGCGGGCAGTTCATCCCGTCAGGTCCAGTCCAGTACCTCACTGCACTGCAATGACGCTGGCTCGCTGGCAGCGGGACCTGCACTAACAATTAATTTGCTTGCTTGGGACTTGGGACTTGGGACTTGGGACGGGGACAACGCGTGCAGGAGTCGGGACCCTTCCTTGTGAGTGGAATTGGACCCATTCGGGGATGCCACATGTAATTCGCGTTTCGGATCGTAGTCCCTCGTAGTTCTTGAATCAGTCAGCCCACGCCGTCTCCTTTTCCTTCTCTCTTCCTTTCTTCGTAGTGAACAGTAGAGTCGGAGGAGTGATAGTGAAGTAAACAAGTCCGAGTAAAGGTACGTAGTCAACCTTGTGATAGCACCTTGAGTTTTGGTTCGCAACTTATAAGTACACCGCGAGCGACCCTGTCGACCGCTTTTGCTCCCGAACTGTGATCGCCATCCATTCTCCAAAAAAAGAAAAGGGGACGACACGAGACACGGCGGGAGCTCTCCAATTCTCACACCAAGTCGCAACCCAAACTGGACTCAGGAATCGAGACTAAAACTAACGAACGAGCGTCATCGTGCAGGCCACCCACCACCTTCTCGTCACCCAAACCAAGCTTCCAGCTTTCATCCGCTCCCTTGCCCAGAACCCGACCGCATCACACATAACTCGTACCGTCGTACCGTCGTACAACCAACCCTTCGATCCAATGGCATCCTCCCTCCCCCGCCAGGCCTTGCGGCTCGCTTCTTCTACTCCCATCCTCCGCGCCGCCGCCTCCCGTCGTTGCGCGTCCACTCTCGTCCAAAACACCAGCCGTCGCAGCACCACTACTCAGTGGGCTTTGCCTAAGAACAACAGCGGAAAGAGAGCTTACAGCAGCTTGCCCCCCGGCGGCTCTCCCCCTCCTAGAGACACGAACAAGATTGCTTTCTGGCCGTTTGTGGCTGTTTTCGCGTTGGGGTCGGGTGGTTATATGTTGTTGGTTAATCGGAGGAAGGGTGAGCTTTTTTTCCCCCCGTTTTTACGTGATTTCCGTATCTGGAGGTGATGGGTGAGGCTGCAAAAGGGCATTGGGTGGAGGGTACGAGAGAGAGGGGAGATAGGGGAGAGAGGCAAGAGCAGTGGGAGCAGCGGAAGCAGTCACGGCGGGCAGGTGGGCGGGAGGGCGGGAAGGGCAGGCTGAGTTGACTTGGAGCTCTTGCGCCTTTCTCAACTGACTGTCTACTTGCTGTGCTGCTTGCTGTTTGCGACTGGACTTGGCTGTCAGACAAGACAGAGATGACGTCTGCGCAACCATCTCTTGCTCAACCCACCAGCTCCTACAAGCTCACCACCTCTACCTTCTACCTTCACCTGCCCCTACAACCCAACCTACAGTTCTACACCAAACAAAAGCTAACAAACTCCCCAACAACCAGACATGCCTCCCAACCCTAAACCCACCTCGGCCGCAGCCGTCGAGGCCCCCTCTTCCTCCACCTCTACTCCCTCCACCACTACCGCTTCAACCCCGCCTTCTCCCCCACCGACGTAACAGTAATCTTCGTCCTCGGCGGCCCCGGCGCCGGCAAGGGTACCCAGTGTGCGCGCCTAGTGCGCGACTACGGCTTCACGCACCTTTCCGCCGGCGACCTTTTGCGGGCCGAACAAGACCGTCCGGGCTCTCAATACGGCGCCCTAATCCAAGATTGCATCAAAAATGGCGCCATCGTTCCCATGGAAGTGACCGTCGCTTTGCTCGAAAACGCCATGCGCGACACCCTTTCTTCATCCAACACCACCAAGGGCCGCTTTTTAATCGACGGATTCCCGCGCAAGATGGACCAAGCCGTCAAGTTCGAGGAGGTCGTTTGTCCGGCCAAGATGGTGCTGTTCTATGAGTGCCCTGAGGCGGAGATGGAGAAGAGATTGTTGGAGAGGGGCAAGACGAGTGGAAGGGCGGATGATAATGCTGAGAGTATTCGCAAGCGGTTCAGGACTTTCGTGGAGACTAGTATGCCTGTTGTTGAGTATTTTGAGAAGCAGGGGAAGGTGGTCAAGGTTGACTCGACGCCGGGGCCGGAGAAGGTTTATGAGGAGACGAGGGGGCAGTTTAGGAGGGTTTTTGGGGATAAGTTTTAGGTAACTGTCCCGGAAAAGGAGATGGGGGAGATGGGGGAGATGGGGAGATGAGGCGGGTGGGTGGCTTATAGTGTGTCTTGATGGACTTGGACTTGGTTTCTGAAGTAGTGGTCGTTCCATAAAATAAAACTTTAGTACTATAGAAAGGGAGCGATGGAGTCGGGAGACGGTCAGTCGGTGGATGGTTCTTCGTTAGAAATGGATTTGCTGCTTTTACAGATACCGAGATGGCATTGCGTTCAGATTTACCGTTGGAAGCCTGGCATCATGACCTTGATGACCACTCATAGCTGGGCATAAGGCATTCTTTTAAAGCATTGTTTTACGCTTCCTTTCTTTGTACTTATCTATGGTGTCTGTTGAACTTTACATGTTCATATCCTTCCTTAAAGCTGCGAATTCATCATCACATCGAGAGAGAAAACCTGATGATTGCTGGATATCTAAACCCATTCCTCTCGGAATGATACAACAACAAAATGCAAACCCGCCAAAAGTAGTACTTGGTCGAAAGAGCAGCTCTACCTTCTTCATCCGTTATTTTTGGGGCTCACACAACTCCTTAATAGAAAGAAAGACAACGACCCTTTTCGATGAAACTTTGTAGAATTCCTTTTTCCCATTCAAACGAACTGAACTGATGACCGAGTGTAGAAAAAGCACTGATATGGGAAGAATATCTTTTTTGGAAGATTCCCCAACTCTATGCTACTAACAACAACCAATTATTTGTGTGTGATATCCCGTTTGGCAACACCACCCTTTAGTCATCATCATCAGTACGGGGCCTGGTCTGCCTTTGACCGCCAGTACGTCCTCCCCGGTTACCGCCGCGCTGCTGGGGCTCGTCCAGGCCGGCGTTGGCCAGCTTGCGCTCGAGCTCCTGCTGCTCGCGCTCGCGCTGGGCCTCAACATCGGACTGGGCCTTGCGCACGACGCCGACGAGCCTGTCGACGACGGTCTTGAACTGGTCGACGCGGGTGCCGAGCTCGCGCCACTGCTTCTCGCCGAAGACGCGGTAGGTGGTGCGGTGAACCAGGAACACCTTCTGCTTCTGTGACAGGCGGCCCTCGACCAGCTTGGAGCGGATCACGTCAATGGTCCACATCTCGACGTCCGCGTCGGGGATCTGCAGGGCCTTGGCGATGCTGGCATAGGGGATCTCGCGGTTCGGGGTGCTGGCGGCGAGCGACGCAAAGGTCAGCAGGCGCATCTTGCGCTGCAGCTTGTCGTGGTCAAGCTTCTCGTTCTCGATCCAGCCCTGGTGCTCGTCCCTGAAGTCGTTGTAGTCCTCGAGGTCCTGCTCGGTGAAGATGTCGAGCAGCTGCGAGTAGACGGGGTGCGAGTCGTTCAGGGCCTGGACCGAGGGGAGCGAGCGCAGGTCGTTGAAGTCGAAGCGGGTAGGCGACGAGATGGCCATGCGGAGGGCGCGGAGGGAGAGCTTCTGGGCCTCATCGGAGGTGACCTCTTCCTGGTTGTCGCGGTCGAAGGTGGCAAGAGCCTTGAGGAGGTAGAAGTAGGACTCCCTGTTGTAGACGTGAGATCAGCATGAAGTCTTCAAGGTGCACATGGTTTAGTATGCATGCATAAGAAAGTGTAAAACTCACTCCTGATCACCACCGTCGTTGGCGGCATCGGAAACCTCGACGTAGAGCTTGCGCTGGCTGTCCGAGTCGGACTTCCACTCCTGGAGCCAGCCCTCGACGTTCTTTAACCTGGGCTTGAGGAGGTCGAACTGGCTGTTTTGCCTGATGAAGCGGACGATCTGCATAAAGACGTTGAAGCGCAGGGGGTTGGACTTGTCGAGGAGGTTGAAGATGGTGGTGAGCGCATTGGAGGCGAGGGTGAAGCCGTGGGTGGGCGAGCCGGTGATGGGCTTGAGGAGGTTGCCGCAGAGGGTGGGCAGGTACTTCTTGGGCTCCTCGGACTGGAGGACGAGGTGGATGAGGAGGTTGTAGGCGGGGGTGAAGTCCTTCTCGGGGGCGCCGTTGAGGATGTGGGAGGCCTTGACGATAACGTCCAGGGCATCCTCGCGCTTGTCCTGCTCGAGGAGAGGCTGGACCTGCTCGCCGACCTGGATGAAGTCGGCCATCTCCTGCGCCAACTCGGCGAAGGTGCCGTCGACGAAGATCAACTGGGGGGTAGCCATGTTGATCGATGTGCGTCGGGTGTGGTTGTTTAGTGACTGGAGGAGTATCGAACTATTCCCAGTTGGACCTTACTCCAAGGCTGAGAGGTCTGGGTATGGGGAAGGGAGGGGGGGGGGGGGACTCGGACGGCGGGACGGAGTCAGGCAGTCGATCGAGAACGGAGACGGGGACACACGGCGACGGGAAAATATGGCCGGGGACAATCTGATAGTATGTCCTGGTGCTGCTAAGGTCGAGCACTTCGGGGGTGGCCGGAAACGATACGGATATCCTGTAGACGTGGGAGGGGCCCCAAAGGAAGTTTTCTTACTGTAGTGGCAGGCTCCGCTCTTCTTTTTCTTTGCGCAGTCCTAGGCCTCGACTCGCTGTCTCTCTTGAGGAGCCTCAGGTCGACCCTCACCAATTTCTCAAAGCAAAAAAAATGCCCCGCATTCAATGCCAAGCCCACCCATTTTTGCCCTGTGCTGTGAAGGGCTGTTCTGTGTGCTCCAGCCAGTCACGTGAAGAAGCCGTGCTGATGGTCAGGGTTATTGCAGCAATCCGTTGGTGACATAATAAACCCTGGGTTAACTGGTCCATCCTTGACAATGTCAAGCTCCCCTTTGCTTTGTCACCGTGCGCTTGACATTGTCCCCAGACTTCTCCAAATCCGATCTTCACATCACATTCCCATCCGTCTTTTTCTGGGGCACGAAACCATCGATATCGAGAGACGCACCTGATGAACATTCGGATGGTTTCAACCTCTTCAGGTCAAATCCACCTCGAGACTTTTGAACAAGCTCGGACTGTTCAATGTGCGTGCTTCCCTCTGCAAAATGCACCTGATGAATGGCTGTTGGTAGCTCACTTGCCGTGGGCGGTGGAGATATGAACTACGGCAATGACGACAATCCCTGGAGGACTATCAAACGGGGCCAAAACTACACGTGTATCGAACTCGCTACATCATCGATTTTGAACTTTCCCCAATCGTATTCATCAAGAAAAAGTGGCGACTCTACACAGTCGCAACAGTTCAACTTTGTAAGCTCACCCAAAACATAAACAGAAGCGGGAAGCGGAAGAGGGGGTCACGGGTCATCTGAACCCGATATGTATCCAGGCAGACATTCAGAGGGTGGTGGTGACCCGGGCAACACAAGTTTACAGCCAGAGGATATTGCACCAGCTCCTTCCTTTTCTCACCGAAGTGGGAGTCTCAAAGTAACAAATGACCCGCACGGCTGACAGCCCAGAAGGATGTTGAAGAGTCACAACGAACCCACAATGGATTCTCGGGCAAAGAGTGATGACTTGCTGAATGACCAGCCCTATGCAATGCATATGGTGACATTCAGGGACTGAGGGTGTGCACCGCTAAACTCAAATAAACAATGCCCGTGTAGAGTATTGCTTGCAAATCGCATCTTGACAACCATCAATGATTAAAGTCCACCAGTGTTGACATGGGGATGTTTCCCTTCTAGTGGATATGTTTACTGACTTACACGCGCAAAGAGTGGAGTCAATGAACCCCCAATGCTCCCCATATCACTTCTTGGCTCAGAGGCGCGGCGTGATTTCCAAGCAAAAAGTGGAAGGAAGTGAGGAAGCAACGGGCGGTCATCGAGGCTTGTACACCGTGAATCCCTGACGTTGTATGGTCACTTTCTTGGGGGAGGCCAATAGCACTGCCCGCCGCCTATCCCATCCCTCGTTGTATAGTAGTCATTTTCCCCAGGCACCGTCACCACCACCCCAGCTTTTTCCACTTTACACACACACAACACACCCTCGTGTCCCGCCAGCTTGATCATCTCCAATCCCTCCCTCGAATCGAGTCCGCAGCTCCGGCGATAACTGACCAACACACCACCCGACTCGTTGCCCTACAATCCCAGCAGCCATGGCTCCCCGAGCTGAAGGCAGCAGCACTCTTAAGAGAGCTCGCGTACGTCCATCCTGTCATGTCATGTCATGACTCTTGCGTCGTGTATCCTCTTATAAATCCATGGCGCATTGCGTCACCACCAAGCATGCTCCGTCGACTAATATGCGCTTTACTCCAGGGTTCTGCCGACGACAATGATTCCTTCAAGAAACCCCGTCGCTCCGAGCGCCTCTCCTCCCAGCGCATCGAAGACAGCGCCGAACCCAAGCAAAAGACACCCGTCAACAAGACCAAACAGCTTCCCTCGCCAGTCACCCACGACACCGATGACTACCAACAAGATGCCAAAGAGGCCACGGCTACCCCACCAGCTGGCCGCCCAATCCAGCTGTCGCAAACCCACCCAGAGTCCCAATACTCCCAGTCGCAAGTACTTGGCTCCCCGCCCAACGACACGCAAGCCTTCAGCCAGTTACCCGATATCGACAGGCCATTGTCGGACGATGTTGAGGATGAAGTCAAGGAGGGAGTTTGGGGCTACCTGTTCCCCTTGGACCATAGGCACGGCGGTCAGTGCGTCGTCTTGAGGCGGAGGGCCGCTTGCCCTCTTCCGGATACAGTCGAACAAGCGGTTGGCTCTAAGAGAGGCAAGCGCGGTCAGAAGGCGTTGATCAAGGAGGAGCACGAGTTGGACAAGACCAAGGTCAAGGGGCTTCCATCCGGTGGCTATTTGATCGGAAGACACCCGGAATGCGGTTAGTTGACCCGTATACTCCCCGATTTACGCGACAATACTAACGGAACATTAGACATCCAAATAGAGGATCCCATCGTTTCGAACCGACACTGCATTATCTTCACGGAGAACAAGGGCAACGATACCGTGGCCGTATTGGAAGATCTGTCGAGCAACGGCACATTTGTCAACGACGCAATAGTGGGGCGCAATCGAAACAGAGAGCTCCACGAGCTAGACGAGATCGCCATTCTTGACCAGGCCCGCTTCATCTTCCGATACCCAAAGAGCCGACACACCAGCGCATTCAAGCAGCAGTACACCATGCTTCAGAAGTTGGGCAAGGGTCACTTCGCCGAGGTATACTTGTGTGTGGAGAAGTCGACGGGCAACCAGTATGCCGTCAAGGTCTTCTCCAGGACCCCTGGCCTCGAGGAGAGGTCCAAGAACGAAGGGCTTCAGCAGGAAATCGCCGTGCTGATGGGGGTTAGTCACCCCAACGTCTTGTGTCTCAAAGATACCTTCAATGAGCCCAACGCCGTTTACCTAGTTCTTGAGCTGGCGCCAGGAGGTGAACTCTTCAACTACATTGTTAAGAAGACCAAGCTGTCCGAGAATGAGGCTCGCAAGTTGTTTACCCAGCTTTTTCAGGGTGTCAAGTACTTGCATGATCGCAACATTGTCCACCGTGACATTAAACCCGAGAACATCTTGCTAGTTGATGATGACCTGCATGTCAAGCTGGCGGATTTCGGTCTTGCCAAGATCATTGGCGAAGAGTCCTTCACCACCACGCTATGCGGCACACCCAGTTATGTCGCACCAGAAATCCTCACCGACACTCATCATCGCAAGTACACCAAGGCCGTTGATATTTGGTCTCTTGGTGTAGTGCTGTACATTTGCTTGTGCGGCTTCCCACCCTTCTCGGATGAACTCACCTCTCCCGACTTCCCTTATTCTCTTTCGGATCAGATCAGGCAAGGCAAATTCGACTATCCATCGCCTTACTGGGACCCTGTGGATGACCTAGCCCGTAAGTTACCCAGCTTTATTCCACACGTCGCTGTACTGTTACTAACAATGTGTTAGTTGACCTAATTGATTCGATGCTCGTCGTTGACCCCGAGAAGCGCTTCACCATCGACGAATGCCTGGCTCACCCCTGGATGACCGACAAGAAACCTGGCGTCAATGATAGTACCAACGGCCTCGTTCACGGCATTGCCGGTCTCGATGTCACCAGGCGCGGTGTCCTCCGCGAGCGCACCCTCCTTAGCTCGATCAACACAGTCCAGGTCGCCGACAGGATCCCACTTGGCGAGAACAAGCCTGAGCTGAAGGTTTACAAGAAGAATCCCACGGTAGCAGTCGATGGGCCCAGTCAGCGTGAATTTGTTGGCGCACAAGCAGGACCTTCCCACCAGAAGGAGACCAAGCCCGACGACAACAGAGATCCGAATGAGTTTATGAAGATGGGCGGTAAAGGTGATGAGGTACTCTTCGCGGAGGACCCGAAGAGTAACTACCCTACCGCCAGCGAGGACGCAAAGGACATTGTTGAGTCGGCGAAGACGGACGGCAAGGGAAAGGGTAAGGGTAAGAAGAAATAAGGGAGTTCATTAACACTTGCCTCTTTCTTACCTGACCTCCCTTCACCTACACTCTAAGTGATGATATATGGGCATTGGCGTTTGGAACATTGCGTTTGGTTGTTTGAGTAATAACAGGACTGTATCTGTGGGATAAGGTGGACATATTGTAATGATGGATGTTGAAGGATGGATGGCATGAATCTGATGGCTATGAAAAGGATACGTGGTATCTCATGAAAGTAAGGACAGGACATGTTTGTTGAAGCAGGCAAGCAAGCAAGCGGATTTGAATGGGGTTGTCATCATGGATGAATGGAGGAAACTGTTACATACCACTGGAGCTTTAATATTCTGCTTTCTGCTTTCCTTTCCTTTTCGTCACTTCACTGGATCTGTGGGCTGGGAGTCTACCTAAAAGCGGTGCTGCATGGACTTTGAGGTCTTCTATCGAGGGAAGGGTTCAGTGGTATATAAGTTATGTTGTTAATATGTGTGCAAAGCAGATATCTTTGAGGCACCTATCTAGATAGCGTTCTTCCATCTTTCACTTCGATCTTTGGTGACGGATGTTGATATCGATGAACTTGGCTAGTTGGCTTCAGAAGAAAATAGGCAATTGTTCATTAAGGACCGGTCCCATTCGTCAACTAACCATGACCTGAAATGTGTTGGACTTGAGTCGAATAACGTAGTGATCATGTACTCGAGTTTCTGTCGATCGGCCAAGCAGACGGACAGTGTCCCTCATTACACCTCCTAACAAAAACAAGACATCTCAAAACAAAAGAAGGCACGGTGGTAGTCCCACCTCCGGCCAACAAGCAACCTTAAAAAGCTCAATGAAAAAAGAAGTGTAAAAAGTTTTCCAGACAAAGGACAACCAGACATGCATGTATGATGACCATCCGGCATCCAACATCTCGTTGCACCTATCTACCTACCTATGTTATCCAAACAGCCAAACGTAACCGTACCAACAAAGCTTTCAACATATCAGGTTAGTTGGATATAGGCTTTTTTTTTCCTTTTCTTTTCTTTTCTTTTTTTTTTTTTTCCTTTCTATCCTTCTCGCTTATCATTCTTTCTTCCCAAGTGTCTTTTGCTCAACTGGTCTTCCAGTCTCCAGAAACAATGACGACTGCCCCCCTGAAGATTGAATTGAAATGGGCTCCGAGGTAGCCCCCCATGATGGGAGCATTTCACGGCAGAGAGCAGACAGCAGACAGCAGACAGCAGGCCAAAATTATGATCATATCATACGTAGTGTGTTGGAACTTCTCCAAACATTCCTGACAGCCCTTGGAAATATGTTGGAGGTCACGACGCTTTTATTTGCCTTTTGAGATACTATAGATACTGCTCAAAGGTTGGTTACATTT